TGTAGCACACCTTTTTAAAATAAACAACCGTGGTATGTGATTGACTCAAATTTGAACTTTGCAGCTGTTCCTTCCTATCTGCCTGGTGTGCCAAAGCAAAACCCTGCAGCTCAACATCTCTAAAATCAAATCTTTAATTCGAATATTCTAATTTGGATCAGCTTCTGAGTTTCTGGATTTGACGGTGTAAGCAAAATGGAGGTATGTGTGTTTGTTTATTTAGTTCAGAAAAATAGATGTTATTTGTTTACTTAGAATGATAGAATCATAGAATCATTTATGTTGGAAAAGACCTTTAAGATCGTCAAGTCCAACCATTAACCTAACACTGCCAAGTCCACCACTCAACCATGTTCTTAAAGTGCCATGTCTACACGTCTTTTAAGTACCTCCAGGAATGGTGACTCAACCACTTCCCTGGGCAGCCTATTCCCATGCTTGATAACCCTTTCAGTGAAGAAATTTTTCCTAATATCCAATATAAACCTCCCCTGGCGCAACTGGAGGCCATTTGCTCCTGTCGTATGGCTTTTTACTTCGGAGAAGAGACAGACACCCACCTTGCTACAGCCTCCTTTCAGGTAGTTGCAGAGAGCAATGAGGTCTCCCCTCAGCCTCCTCTTCTCCAGACTAAACAGCGCCAGTTCCCTCAGCCGCTCCTCATAAGACTTGTGCTCTAGCACCTTCACTAGCTACTTAGCATATAGCAATGTTGTATAGTAAAAGGCAACAGCTGAATAGTCTTGAGTTAAAGATGTGAAAGTATAACTTGAGGCAGAGTATCTGGCTGTCAAAATTACATCTAAAGAGGAAGAAAGTTTTAGGGATACTTTAAGATAGTTTGTTTTGTTAGATTAAAACAACTGAAAGATTTCTGCATTCAAGAATGTAGTTTTAGTCTCTCTGAATGCTGTGAGAATCTGATGTTCTCACTAACATCTTTTCACTGTGTTCGACTTCACTTAGTGCAGAGCCTGACCATGAGCATGGTTCAGGGAGCAGAGTAAATGAGGCTGAAGGTGTAGTTTCGACCTGTCCAAGAGCTGTGCTCTTCAGCCACGGAACGGTAGGCAATATGGTGAGGTGGGGTGGCACTGCCGAGACCTTCATGATGGGGAGCTGCCATGGTGTACGGCTCACACGGGTGCTTGTGGTGCGGGGCTGTTTCCTTCCTGGGGCACCAGCTTGCTCAGCACAGGTGGCCTCCTTCCACGCCTGTACAACCAAATCCAGTAGTAAAAATAGGGGGAGGCCCAAATGACTAAGGAGGAGCCTACTTTTTGTAGTCTGCTTCCTCAGTGAGAATTGTTTTGAATGAGTTAATACCAGAGAGGTTAAAGGAACCATTGTATATTTTGAATTTGGGCTGTCAAAGCAAATATTTTGACAGTCGGTCAGAAGTGGATATTGAGTGGTGTGCTGTGAAGAACACAGTTCTGTCATGGAAAAAACTTGTCACGGGATGGGAAACTGAGAGGGGGAATAAACAGCCAGTTTTCAGCCTTGCAAAGGCCTAGCTTGAGTTTCTGTTGAGCAAAAATGGAAGAAAAGGGCTGAGCAGAGTACTGGAGAGAAACTTCATGAAGCATGGTTATTTAGCACTGTCGGTATCTGGAAAGGCTTCAAGGTATGGCACAAACATGCTGTTGGAGTCATGTGAGAATTGGTTAGGTTCATTTGGAAACTCAGGGTGTGGTGTATTGGAAGGAAAAGCTTAATTCCGTAAGTGAGACTGAACTGTGACTTCTCTCCAGTACTTGATTTGTAGCCTTTCCTTGCTAAGTCTCACAAAGAAGAGGTGCCCCTGCCCCTCCTCTGGTCTGTGTGCCATCCTGCTTTATCTATTTCTGTCCATCTACTCATGAACAGGAATTGCAGGAGAGTGGCCCCTGCCGCTTGTCTGGTATTGCCATCCTACTTCAGATGTTTCTGTCCCGTCTGCTCACAAAAAGGAGTTGTAGGTGAGTGGCATTCCCATTTGTGAGGGCATCACTAGTGCAAGAGTAAATTTATGCAGACGTTCTCCCATGAATAGGAGGACATTGCTCTGGAGATATATTTTGTACCAGAATAAAGTACTCATTACCTGAGAAAAGCCCAATTGTGAAGGTTTCATTGGAAAGCAAAGTATATTTTGTTGAACTGTAGTTATCAATAATATTTACTAATCTGTAGGTGCTGTGAAGTTTCCCAGTGTTGCAAAAAGGGGAGGTACATGATCCAGGGAAATCCTGAGATTTGACATGACCTCCATTCCAATTTTAGACAGGGTGTTTTGCTAATGCAGTGACTGTTCTGGAGATACTGTGTCTTAAATGTTACTGTAATTTATTCTTACAATTGCATTTCAAATGGAAAAGAACCCTATGGTTTGGTCATTTCTTCTGATTCTAATATGGCATCGCTTCGTTGTTATCAGTGCCATGTTTTTGTGGCTGCCAGTGTTCACCTAGAATTTCCACCTACTTAAGTAAATACGAACTTTGTTCTCACCTGTGTTTGGCAAACAGTATTTTATGTTCAGAAAAGCTATGATGGGTGTTCAACTCTCATGGCCCTTGCACCTGGGTTAAAATCTGGATTCGCAAAGAGGAGTTTACATGGGTGTGGCGCTTGCACAGAAATACAGATTCTAGACTTTTTTTTAACTTCTCTTAGAAAATAACAGCATTTTCTGTTAAATTCTCTTTAGTCGTGCAGATGACATCAGAACAATGTAGGTTTGCAGTCGATACTTCCTACATTCCAGTTGTTATTTAAAGTGGAAATACTGAGAGAATTAACTTTTTTTTGGCAGGCTGACACTTCAGCTCTCTGTTATTACAAAGGGTGTATTCGAGTCATCAGTATGTCGGGTTGCTTGAAAACTTCATGCCTTCCCTCAAAAAATGGAAAATGAGCTGTACTGTTATCTCAGTATGGCTAAAAGCACAATTAAATATGTTTTGTCTTTTTTTAAGGCAACGCCTTAACCTCGAACTAAGGGAGACAAAATCAAGTTGTTAGCAGAGCTGCTTAAGTCCGTGTATCTGCTAGTACCAGAGAAGCCTGCAGATCTAGATGAGAAAGAGTAATGCAGACAAAATCTTGCAGATAATTCACTACAACTAGTATAGGAGGGAGTAGAAATTTCTGGATTAAATTCTCAGTGTATTGAAGTTGTGGGTGGCTGTTTTTGTTTTGCATTCAGTGGGACTTGGATTCAACCACTGGGCTCAGAACTCCTAAGGAATTAAACACCAGCCCCAGGACAAAGTTAAAAAATATCGGGGATGACTGCTTTTCTGGCATCTGCTGACCCCTTTGTGTTTGGCAGCAGCACAGCAGTGAGGAGGTCCAGATCTGGTTCTCGACTCTTTTGCCTCCAGTTCAATGTCAGTATTTTGGTTTTTGTGAGGAAAACTTGGAAGTGCTATGTTCTCATCACGGAGGGGGTAACGTCAGGGCATTTCCTGCTCCCACCACCACCCCCCACCCCCCA